TAAACAGTTCAATTCTGTTTTATTGATAGAGCAGTTCACAACAATAATCACTTCTGAATTGAATCTTATCCAGCCTCTTAACATTTCATTTGCTGTTGGCTGCTCTGTTAACTGAGTGTCTATCTTTACACTGTGGAGTCCCCTGGCAAAGTTGAAACAGATATTGTATTTTAATTGTGTTATGAGACAAACAATTCTAGTAAGCACATGACAAATGTCATCATTAATGTCACCATATATGACAAAATAAAGACAAAGAAAAGGTGATTTGTAAATAAGATAGTAATCTCATGTACTAAAACTAGAAAATGGTTATGAAAAATCTGCTAACCTTCGATTAAATGTTCTTTTTTTTTCAAACTGAATAAAAGAAAGTGGGGTATTGGTTGAATATAATATGTGCATGCTGTCTCCTCCCATTTAAATAAGAGCCTGACAGAGCAGTATGTTTTCACAGAGCAATCAAATGCAACCCCCTGAGGGGACTGATGCACTTTCACAGGAATGAAAGGAAAATGAAGTTTTGCTGAACATTTCAACACCTTCCATGCGTTTAAGCCAGTTTTATTGCACAAGTTCTTTATGGAGAGGCAAGTTATCATTTTGTGTTGTTTCTAAGTTAGCTTTATTGACCCCTGCAGGGAAAGTGCTATGGAAAGCAGAAGTGGATAGGTATGTTGGATCAGTATGATCACAAACACAGTAAATATAAACAGATTTCCAACTTGCCTTTCGAAACAGTTGGAGCACTGTAAAGGTTAAAAAGGTAGGTAAAAAATAAATAACAAAAACAATTTTCCCAGGAAAAGGCATAATCCAGATGGGAGCTAGTATTTCTCATCATTCAAACTTCTCCGTGATTTACATGTAAAACACTGACTTAATCATGTTAGTGATGTGCAAAAACAAAGCTTTCTCTGGACTCCTTAGAATGCCTAACACGAAAAACACAAATACTCTAAATATTCATGCTCACAAATTTTGCACAAATTAAATAGGATTTGCAAATTACATTTCAAGATGTGCATGTGCGTGTGTGTGTGTGTGTGTGTGTGTGTGTAATGGAATGAAGTACTGAATATTTATCATGCTCCTGGGAATATTGTTTATAGGTATGAACTTAAAGTGATAAATATCTTGATGTGATCTGTCACACATCCTTATAGCCACAATCGATTAGAATGGTCTGACAGGACCTTGAACATATTTAAAAAGTACAATTGTCGAATGACAAAAACTGTCAAAAACTTGGTGGTAACATTTTTATGTACACTGAAAATACCCACCAACCTTTAATTTCTACTTTAGAATAGTGAAACGATAAAACAAATTCATAGGTTCACAATTTAACACACCAACTATTAATTACCAATTATATCTACAACCCCAAATACATTTCAGTGCAGAGCAATTAACGCTTCACAAAATACTGTTTGCAGGCTTACAGTTCTATGAAATGCGAATTATTCCAGTTAAATTGAACAAATCAGCTGATCATATGAGGTACAAAGCTGCCTGACTTTTCTAACAGCAGGTCCAGTTTTGACTTAAAAGATAGTTGATAGACTTAATGAGAGTAAATATGGAACATACCTACTTCTGCCTCCATCGCAAAAGAAAGAACACATCTGGGCAGGTAACAGCACACCTGAGACATATGCAGCCTCAGGCTGTACTTATCAGTGTGAGAGATACAAAAAAA